AGGTAAGACTCATAACAAAATCAATCAGATTTATTATAGACATTAAAGGGGTCTCTTTATCTTGACATTGCAAGATTAACGGACCTCTTCTCCTGCTGTGACAGCAGCCGGGGTATCTGAGGACATGTCTCTACAGTCGTATGTTTTTCTGGGTAATGCTGAGTCTGGCTTTAATGCAGTAATTAGTAAAGACTGCATACCAGCATGACCCTGACACGGCTACTGCGTTTGGTATTTATGTGAGGGAATCCCTGCTATGTCGTTACTTTTGTCAAGGTCTTAAAGCAGCATTTTGAATGTGGCTCTTGGGGGTTGACTTCTGCAACACCTCAAGCTTCTTGACGATCTCTTGATCCTCTAAATGAAGAAATGTAACCTGATGCTTAAACGGCCTGCCAAAGTATTGGCGGCTGGTAACAACATGCTTGACCCATCCTTGTTGCCGAAAAGCTGGTGTGATAAGTGATGATGGCTCGCTCGTATGAACTGGCAACCTCCTGCGTTGCTTGTTTACCTTGACTTTAGCACCCTGTCAGGCTGGTTTAATTTCAATTGGATATATTACTGTGTTGTGTCAGAAGCATTTACATGCATTCATCCTTTTGTATCACCTTAATCTATTTATTTATTAATATATAATACCATGGTAAATTCATTACAGATAGGAGCTAATGTAGTTGTAAAGCCAATGTTACAAAAGAAAGTGAGACAGACAGGAAGGAGATGTGATAGAGAAAGATAGTGTTGGTTTACAAACTATTTTCACTTTAGCCATAATCGGGAACTTTATACTTGGACGATAGATACATGCAATTAACAACCTAGTAAAATGGAAAATGAGCAGGGTTGTTGATGCTAAAGGAGTGGGACTGAGAAAAGTCTCCACAGTTTTGCTGCTGTTTCTCTCTCAGCTTGGCACAGGTCACAGCAGCTGCTGGGACACAGCAAAGCATGATGGCAATGTGGCCAAATATAGCCATGCAACTGGCCCCTCATCAGTCCTTTATCTGGTCCTGGAAGAATACTGAATACGTATCTCGAAGCCCCTGAGGACAATTAGACTAAATCAATCTATTAAACTAGTGGGATTCTCATCACAGATATTAACTACACTTTAACAATCATTACATTTATTTATACAAGATATAGTCTGTAAAACTATAGTACATCATGTGTTAAAAATATGTGCAATGCAGTTAAAATTAATTAATTAAAAATGTTGCTTTTGCTCCACAGGTTCTGTAAGTTGTAGACATGTCTGAGGGGTGAGTATTCGCCTCTAAAAGGTCACCACAATTCTGCACACTGTTTGTATATTAAATAATAATAATAATTAATAATAAATAATATATATATATTGTCTACTTTTCTTGCCACATGTTCATGAAGACCGGTGAGTGAAAATGATTTCTTGCACTATCATTAGCAGTCATCAGTATTGATTCAGAATTGTACGTTTTATGCTTAAAAATACATTTGAAAACCTTTATTAATGACTCTATTTGATGTATAAAGTATTCTTATCTTTCTCACAGAGAAAGCCAAAATATTCAGCAACACGCCGACTGCATTTGAAGGTAGGTCTAGTAAACCTTTATGTGAACAGTATTTAACCGTATGCCACATGATCTAAGACCTCTTTCCTTGTTATCCAGGCTTATTAACGCCTTACTATCTTAACAGTCGAAACTGCTGAAGAAGGCAGCTTCTATGCTGGTGGCTGAAAGTGAAGAGAAGAAACACCAGAAGGAAAGAGCTGTGAATGAGTGCTTCCCTCCGCTGAAGCTGTCAGGTCTGTCAGTCCAGGATCTCCAGGTATTGACATAGCACATCATGCCGATTCAGACATTATTGTTCAACATCATGTTGACAGTTTTGTTTTTCTTTACAGGAACTTTGCAAAGATCTGCATCGTAAGATTGATGTTGTAGATGAAGCACGTTATGATATGCAGGTTAAGGTAGACAAAAATGCAAAAGAGGTACAGTAAAGCTGAATCAAATATCAGTTAATACATTTACTGACTTATCATGATTTTGTAGTTGTGTGGTTATTGTTTTTTCTTAAGCCGTGATGTTTGTTGCACAGATTCAGGCACTGAATCAGAAGATCACTGAGCTGAAGGGGGTAAAGAGGCCACACTTGAAGAGGGTGAAGAAAACTACAGATGACATGCTGGGTGCATACACCGACAGCTCCAAACTCATGAAGGCTGATTTCAAGGCCAACCTTAAGACAGTGAAGAAGGAGGACGAAAAGGTGAAGCCTGTGGCTGAGACAATTGTCTACTAAATTAGAAACTACATTCCAATCCAATCCAATCCATTTTATTTATATAACACATTTAAAAAACAAAAGTTTACAAAGTGCTGAACAAGAAATAAAACATAAAAACTCATATAAAACACATAGAAACACATAGAACACACATAAAACAATAAGACTACACAGCTCTCATGCTGGGTTAAAAGCCAGGGAATACAAGTGGGTTTTAAGACGGGATTTAAAACATTCGAGGGTCGGGGCCAATTTGACCTGTGGAGGTAGCTCATTCCACAGTTAAGGGGCTGCTGCCAAAAAAGCATGGTCGCCCCTGGTTTTTAACCTGGTTTTTGGAGCGACCAGCCGAAGTTGGTCAGTAAACCTAAGTGACCGTGGGGGGTGTAGACTTGTAAGAGGTCTGAGATGTAGTGAGGTGCCAACCCATTCAGTCACTTAAAAACAAACAATAATATCTTAAAATGTATTCTAAAATGGACCAGGAGCCAGTGAAACGAGGCCAGCACTGGTGTAATGTGTTCATGCTTGCGAGTTCCAGTTAAAAGACGAGCGGCCAAGGTTTGTACCAACTGTAAGCGTGAGAGAGAGGTTTGGTTAACTCCAATGTAAAGTGCATTACAGTAGTCCAGACGAGTTGAGATAAAAGCATGAATCACATGTTCAAAGTGCTTACGAGATAAAAAAGGTTTGATTTTAGATAAAAGCCTCAGGTGATAAAAACTGGATTTAACAACATTATGTATCTGTTTATCAAGTTTAAAACCATTGTCTATTTTCACACCCAGATTTGTCACTACGGGTTTCGCATATTGTTGCAGGTAGCCCAGGTCAACAGAAAGGATATCACCAGTCCGACTGGGTCCAAACACAATGACCTCAGTTTTATCTTCATTTAGATTTAAAAAGTTAGAAGCCATCCAGGTCTTAATATCTTTTAAATACTCTAGTAGAGGTACGAAGGAGTTTTCACCTCTTTTGAGGGGCAGATATATTTGGGAGTCGTCCGCATAGAAGTGGTAGGAGATACCATGCTTTCTAATTATGCTTCCTAAGGGGAGGAGATACAGGGAAAAGAGAATTGGTTCAAGAATTGAGCCCTGTGGAACACCACAAAGAAGGGGGGCAGTGGATGAACCAAAGTCCCCAAGCTTTACTGAAAAGCATCTCCCAGACAAATAGGACTTAAACCACTGCAAAGCAGTGTCCCTGATACCAACACAGTGCTCTAGACGAGAGATAAGAACCGCATGGTCTACTGTGTCAAATGCAGCGGTGAGGTCTAAAAGCACTAGTATGGCAGAATTCCCAGAATCAGTGGTTAATAAGAGGTCATTAAAAACTCTTAGAAGTGCAGTTTCAGTACTGTGAAATGCTTTAAAACCAGATTGAAAAATCTCAAAAATACCATGTACATCTAAAAAAGACTGCAGCTGTAGAAGTACAGGCTTCTCTAAAATTTTTGAGATAAAAGGAAGCTTCGAGATAGCTCTGTAGTTGGATAAAACCGAGGAATCCAGATTTCTTTTTTTAATCAGGGGTTCCACAACTGCTTCTTTGAAATATGTTGGGACACCTGCTGCCAGACTACTATTGATGATTTTTTGGACATTTGGGCCAATTGTCTCCCAGGCTTCCTTAAAGAGGCGAGGGGGCACAGTTCAGTGGGACAATGTGAGGATTTTAGTTGGGTCACTATTTTAGTGAGGTTTGAGAGTGACACAGGCTCAAACTGGTCGAGGACAGCTGAGCCAGTGCTATGGACATAAAAAGAAGCTTACAATCTGTATCTCTGTCTTTGCAGAGGGAAGAAGTGACTGACTGGCGTAAGAACGTGGAGGCCATGTCTGGAATGGAGGGCAGGAAGAAGCTGTTTGATGCTGGACAATAAGCAGGTGCCTGTGTGAAACAAAGCAACGTTAAACCTTAAGTCTGGTCTATGTTCAATGCCTTTGTTTTTATTAAATCCGTTTGTTCATCTTTATATCAGAATCATTGTGCAAAGTCAAGACGATTTCCATTACAGGATCAAATAAATCTGGAAAAATGGATTTCATTTTTATCAATCATTAACAATACAGGCGATTGAAATAGACAAGATTCAGGTTAGCAAAATAGCCTTGCTAGCATCAGAGCACTTTTTAATGTCACCACATGAATCATTTTCATGTAACTTTAGGTCCAGTCAACATCCACAACCCGCCTGAAGTGGCTCTACGCCCCCCAGTTTGAGAATCACTGCTTTATTGTAAATCTGTATGTAAAAATAGCCATATATAAATTGTATAGTATACAGTTCCCTTTGCATATTGAAATTGTGCTTGATGAAGACTGATTAGCTTTATGAGTTTGTCTTTCAAAGTGCAGTATTTATGTTAAACAGATGATGGTGCTGTCCCACTATTTGAGATACATGTGATGCTGACATGTGATGCTGATTAAACCACTGTGACAACTTTTCTGCTTGGTTTCTTTGGTTTGTTCAGATTTTTATTTTTAATCTATCCAATAACATTAATAATCATGATGATGTATTCAACCCCCAAAATAGATGTTAATCGCTGAGTTGAGGCTGTCTTAACATCCTGCAATCTTACTGTTGAACAATGGGAGTATAGTGGTACACCTGGTGTTGGTGTATGCCATAGTGTAGAGATACAGTATACTGGCTGTCAGGACACAGGAGGCTATTTTAGTTGGCCACTCACAGAAGGCAATAGAAGCCAATAAATTTGACTCAAGTTTTCTTCTTGTCATTTAAAGACAGCCGCTGCTGCTTACCTCAACAGGATTTCTACAGAGATAAAAAAAAAAAAAAGGTATGTTGATTTTTCTGATGACGACAGTGTGGCTAAAAGATAATTAGACAGTTTCACCTGTTGCAGTTGCACCTGGATTCATTTAAAGAACAGCCGAAACCTTATTTAATACAGTTTGATCTTATAAAATATTAGATATGACAAGTGCAAAATAAGACATTTGAATCTAAAACTTTGTTATAAAATCTATGTATTTACTTTAAAGTATATTTCACTATTAAATTCACTTATCAAGTAATTAAAATGGTAATGTGCACTTTATTACCAAAGCAGGAAAGCTTATAATATTTAATAATTTTAACAAATGCTACTGGGAAATAGTTTTTATTACAAATATGATCCACTTACATTTTGCTACATATTTTGGTTTTATTTGGCAATAAGGTAAATCTGATTTTGATTCTGATCTGACTGCCATGAAAATGGATCGACTCCAATTGGGTTTAAAAAAAGAATCATAATCATCCAAACAATCTGCAGCTTTCAAGCGTGCAGTGATGCTAATTTCACAGCTTAATGTCGGTATGTTACCATACCAAGGTCTGGATGACTGACTCGGTCAACAAGAGACGAATAAACAGTGTGTACAGTAGTAGAAATAGATATTACAAACTATTAGTACATTTATAAAAACTAAGTAGCCAGTAAAATACTATTGTACCACATTTATGCACTGCTGCTACTGCAACTAGTACTGTCTATGAATATTGCATTTGTCTTTGGTATGAATTATTTTATTTTTTACAGACAAAAACCAACCATGTCTGAGGGGTAAGTTGTTATAATTTTTATAACAAGTATTTGTAAAATTATCTATCATATTGATCTTAACTTTTATCTTATATTTTCCTCTTTCTTACATCATAATGTACACTATAGACAGGTAGGTTATTTACAAAGTTGTGCAGCTAATTATTATTATTTATTTTTGCATAACTGTTGCCACATAATATTTTTGTCTACTGCTTTATTATAGAAGAAATCAAAGATCACTGCATCTCACAGACTAGCGCTCAAGGTATTGTCTCCTTTGTCTTTACTACAACTGGTAACAATTCACCACAGATACAAAGTATTTACATCACCCACAAGTTCACAAAATAAGAGTGGTCTGCGCTGCAAAGTTAATCAATATCAATTCAATTATAGACCAAGATGCTGAAAATGGCAGCTGTGATGCTGGAGAAGGAGAAGGAGGATAAGAAGCTGGAGAGAAAAGCTACTTTGAGTGAGAGAGTCCCTCCACTTCAGCTTTCTGGTTTGTCCATTCAGGACCTTCAGGTATGTGCAGGTCACTGCGCGAGCCGCCCTTCATACTATGATGAAACATTGTTGAAATGCTCTATACGCAAGCATCCACCCAATGTACGTAGATGCCATGCACACAGTATGTTCATATGCAGTAGATGCATTAGAGTACAGGTGCCTCGTCCTCTTCATTTTTTATTGTGGGCACTAAGATGACACCATCATTTAGAACAACTTTCAAATCATTTACTCAATTAGAAAAGTAATGATTTCAATAGTGATTTTCAGTAGTCCTAGTGTAATATAATGCTAGTATAACAATCAATACATAAATGACACTGAGACATGATATGATTCTCTTTCTGTCTGCAGGCTCTGTGCAAAGAACTGCACCACAAGATCGATGTGGTAGATGAAGACCGTTACGACATTAATGTCAAAGTGGAAAAAAATAACAAGGAGGTAACTTATTGGATTTTTTATTTAAATGTGAACTTAAATCTGTGTTTATGTCTATGTTTCATTTTGTCTTGTTTATTTTAATTGACTGTGGTTAAGACCTTACTTAAGTTTTTATTCATTGTTTTAATGTATTTTCATTGTAATATGCATATTTTTTTACTTGCATTTTTAATTTTTTCTTGCAGATTGAAAATCTTTCTCTGAAGATCTTTGAGCTGAAGGGTAAAATGAAACGACCCGCTCTCAAGAGGGTGAAGATCTCAGCTGACGCCATGCTGGGAGCTCTCCTGGGCTGTAAGGTCAAAGAGTCTGTGGACTTCAAGGCCAACCTCAAGACCGTGAAGAAGGAGGAGGAGAAGGTAAGTTTAGTTTTTACGTTTTTAAAGATTATGTCAGGCTTAGTTGATAAAATATTTTTTATAACACGATGCTGTGGTATTGCTTCTGTTATTTTGGGGTTATTTTCACTGAGAGTTATTTTCTTCTTATGAGCAGAAGGAGGAGGTGACTGACTGGCGTAAGAACGTGGAGGCCATGTCTGGTATGGAGGGCAGGAAGAAGCTGTTTAATGCTGGACAGTAGATTTAATATTTATGGACATTGAAATAAATATGAATGCTGTTTTCCAGTGAGCAGCAATAGAGAGGTAGAAGTTAATGTCACTGCTCACAATAGTAGCTTGACAGTGTATGTGTGAGTATCTAAACTTCAACTTTTGCAATATGCAAAAATATTAACATTCAATAAGGGAATTGTAATTCAAATATTTTGCACTCAGACTTGGAAAACATTGAATTTGTCTTTTCATAACAGAGAAGCATATAGTGATATTTGCTGTCTTGAATGTCTGGAAAGTTTCTGTCATGATAATAAATAGGTTTGATTAAAACAGAAAACTGCACTTTTCTTTTTAAATAATTATCTACTTTATCATCCTAGTTGCTTCTTGACACTAGATTGGGACACAACGTCAGTGCGGTTGGTAATAATACCATGTTGACGACCTCATTGTCGTCAACAGCAGCTGTTGCTAAATCACTTTTGTAAATCAAAGCAGAAGTAACATTCCCATTAAGAACTGTGAAGGTCCAAAAATAAGAGAGGTCGCAGGTTCAGGTCTGCAATAAACCTCTCAGTAAAGAAACAAGGAGCAGCTGGAGCACACATTTACAATCAACACTACAACTGCTGAAAAGATCATTAACTCAGACAATTTGTCAATTAAATCACAAAAAATTGATTGGCAACAATTTTGATTATTGATTATTGTTTAAACATTTCAAGCAAAAATACCAAAAAATTGATGGTTCCAGTTTCGCTGAGCGCAAGTCTTCTGTTTGTGTACATGTTTTCATTTCACACTTGCTTTAGCAATGTAAAGGTCGGTTTCCCATGCCAACAAAGTCCCATTAAATTGAAAAATAAACTCCATTCGGTGAGTTAAAAAAGGATGCCATTTAGTAAATGCTTTTATCCAAAGCACCTTTGAGTACCACGGACTTCTAACAGTGGGTGAACTATGGAAGTATTAGTAACTCTCTCAACAAGATTTCTACTGTGGTAAATCATACAGGACAGCGATGATACACAAAGTATTCTGTATTAGGGAGGGAACACTACTGATTTACACATAAAAGTCAGTTAACTAATCAAAGCAAGTAGTACTTGGCCTATTTAAACTTTTACATAATGCCTTCTGTGGTAGAATGTCTGTGTCACAAACTGGAGGCATGAAGTTTATCAGGCAGGGATCTAATGCTGTGTTCACGTTATATTTTTTGTCAGCCTCTGAGTTATGAGTGCAAGTCGCAGTTTTGGGGAATTTCTGACAGCAACAATTTCTCCCACATGGGGAAATGAACTACAGCTATGTAAAAAAGAAATGATGGCAAAATGGCTGCATCACTTGCAGTGACAGCTAAATAAAATATTAACACGAATACAATTGACTCAGTAAAATTAAAAGCAGCAATACAGTTTTGTATGTTTTCACTTGTAAAGCTGCAGATTTATACTATTTTAATGATGTGACGACAACAGTGAAGGTAACCATGCATGAACACTAACAGGAAGTTTTCCTGTTCTCTCAGAGGCTGTTGGATGCATTATGGGAAATGTAGGATCCAGTGACAGTCAGGATATCTCGGCCTCTTCTGCATCACTACTGACCATGCTTTTTTTATCTGTCTCTTGTGACTATCCCAACTTTGTGGAAGTGCAATAGGAAATTGCTCGAATACTCCTTTAAAGCAACTATTAGAAGTGATCTTAAAACAGTATTTGACCCAAGGTTTGAACTGCTGTTCTTGTTTAATCGTTTACTGCCTACCTATCCTTACGTGAGGGCATGAGTCGCAGCCCTTTCAGGGTCTGAACATTTGACTCCATGCTAAAACAATGACGCAGATTGAACTCTGGCTGGCTCAGTTTACAAACCTAACCAGCACCTGTCCTTGTTCCTCTGGTCCCCTAAATAAAACCTGACTAACTTTTGGCGTTCTTACCTTCGAGGTAGTCCTGTAATGTGTTTTCAGACAACAATAGTCATCCCAGGAAAGCAAAGGAATGGCGATGTATACAGTAAGGTGGATAGAAGATGTGCACTGAACATTATACTACTTCTAACTTTTTGCAATGATGTCGTGAAAAAAAATAGCTCATTTCAAACTGATGCAATAAGATAAAGCAACTCGCAAATCAGTTTTAAAGCTGTGACAACGGTTCAAAGCAGACCTTCAAATGTGGTGCAAAAATCACTACATCACTCCACATTTTTTAAATGAATGGCAAATGTGTTTACATTGTCAAAAACATTAACACTGATCATTCTTTTGGTCTATATTGTTTCTTAAAATCCGAGGATGAATTTGCAAATTGCCATAAACAAAGCAATGAGAAATGTTTTCATTTTTAAGACATACAGTTGATGTGGCCACTACAAACGCAGATATGGGAATGGGTATTAAAAACCTCTTCTGTCTCTGCTGTTGACACTATTAGATGGCTATAGATGGACATCTTGAGATGGATGCGATTCACACTTGGACTGGGTTGTTTGTTCTATAAATAAAGGCACACAACAAGTACTGACACTGCACATTTGTGTTCTTCCTTCTATTTGACTCTTTGACAACTTGATCCAAACTCCAACAAGCTGGCACTGGTCAAATGTGAATGTGTGACACTGACCCAGCATTAATGTGGTCACCTCTTTAAATGCTCACCGTCACTTCCACCAACAGGTGTTGTCAAAACCACACAGGATACCCACATGATTGAGCCCATAAATGAAGTTTTATTACCCTCTTTCTGTTTGAATATTGTGGCGATGCTATGTGCAACAGTAAATGTCACTGTTGGAGGACAGACAGTAGACGCAGTCTATTTATGTGAGCCATTCACATTTGGCACAGACACTATAAACCTGATTGATTTTTCTCCATCGTCTCTCAGAAAGTTGTTTGCTGCCTCCCTCACACACGCTTTTCTTCAGTTTTGAGATACGACTGTTCAGCTTCAAGGTACAAAGTTGCTAATACTATGGTACTTCTAGTAACCTGTCAGCATGCTATGAGTTTAAAACAATTACTAATTTTGAATGTGTAAAATCTCTAATTCAGAGTAGTGTCTTGTTTTTACTTTGTTGTTTTATTTTGACATCATTTAGATTAAGGTTAACAGCAAGTTGAATATTACATGCCTGTGGATTATCTGGCCATTCACCTTTTTTTGTCACCTATGCAGAGACTCTTGTCAGTTATGTTAACACATCCACTGACAAAGCACTTTGAACTGTACTTTGCCTATGAGACAAGTGCTTTTAAAGGTATTGTGTGTTTGAAAGACGTATCATGCGTGCATATGAAACAGCAAACTAAAGCCTGACTTAACCTATTATTTAATCTAGTTGTAATATGTATTTAAAATTCTAATAACATTTACTTAATTCTCATTTTAATTCCACCTGAATGATGGTAACAATAATCTACACCTATATATAAATCTATATTATTCTTTGATTACATGGGGGAACAACAGAGTGAACAATAAATAACTCGGGCCAATAATGGGCCAATGAATGCTTGGAGTGGGTGAAATACTTTGACCAGGGAGGTTAAAGACATCATCAATCTTCAGCATAGAGCTCAATTGCACAGGTGTTAAGGTGAAGGAAATTAACTCTGTTTGCAATTAACTGCATGATGGTTAGATTTTACAGTTTTAATTTCTTACAAATAAACTTTTTATTTTCTTTTACCTTTCCTATTTTAGTGCAGGAATTTACATCAATCATGGCTGATGCGTGAGTATAATATTGTTTTCTCTATTTTATTGTCTTCATTGACAGCTTCAAAGTATACAGAAAATATTAATCATGCTGACATGTACTTTCCTCCTCTTGCTAATGGGCCAACAGACCTGTGAGTATTTATCACACAACATCTTTAATAAGACCTTTTTTCAATTTGTCTATGAAGGATATAAAATCACATATGCAAATGTGATGTGCTCCACAATATACTGGTGCATATCAGAAAATTAGAAGTAAAACGCTCATACATTCTAGATTCATTACACTTAAAGTGAAATATTGCAGGCCTTTTTTGTTTTAATCTTGATGATTACGGCTAGCAACTTATTGAAATCAAAAATCCACATAAATATAAGAATGTTAGAATAAATAATTAATTGTTGACCTGAGAAGAGCCTTTAATCTCTCAGTCTGGTTCAGTAAAAGTAACAGAAAGCCACAGAAAAGTAATTGCTCAAAGGACTGGCTGTTCACAGAGTGCTGGATCAAAGCATATTCGTGGAAAGTTGACTGGAAAGTTAAAGTGTGGTAGAAAAAAGGTGCACAAGCAACAAGGATGACCGCAGCCATGAAAGGATTGTCAAGCAAAGATTCAAGAATTTGGAGGAGCTTCACAAGGAGTCGACTGAGGCAGGAGTCAGTGCCACAAGAGTCAAAGCTACAAGGCACAAACTTGTCCAGGAAATGAGCTCTAAGTGTCGCATTCCTAGTGTCAAGCCACTCCTGAACCAGAGACAATGTCAGAAGCGTCTTACCTGGGCTAAGGAGAAACAGAACTAGACTGTTGCTCAGTGGTCCAAAATCATCTTTTCAGATGAAAGTAAATGTTGCATTTCATTTGGAAATCAAGGTCCCAGAGTCTGGAGGACAAGTGGAGAGGCACAGAATCCAAGGTGCTTGAAGTCCAGTGTGAAGTTTCCAGAGTCAGTGACGATTTGGAGTGCCAAGTCATCTGCTATGTTGGTCCACCATGTTTTCTCCAGTACAGAGTCAATGCAGCCGATTACCACCCGAGTACTAAAGGCATAAATTAACCTTTTTCAGAACTTTTTAGAGAAAGTAGACATTTCTGTATTATACATTCTTTATTCTAATATTCTAATATTTTGAGATAGGGATTTATGATTTCTATGAGCTATGAGCTATAAACCATAATCACGAAAAAACTAACCAAAAAGGCCTGAAATATTTCGCTCTATGTGTAATGAATCTAGAATATATAAATGTTTCACGTTTTGTCTTAAATTACGGAAAGAAATTAACTTTTTCACAATATAATTTTTTTTTTAATGCACCTATATATCTGTGAAGATTCTCAGTCATCCATGTCATAGTTATCTAAGGAGGGTTAAATCAAGGGCAACGGGATTGACTGAAGATAACTGCAGATACTTGAAGACATTTCCTCCCACCGAAGAGGCTTCTAAAGTTCTGTTGGGAGTCCCAGGTGTTTAACCTCTGTGGGGTCTTTATCAAGGGGATGGACACAACTTGGTTCATTAGTGCTCCTGGCTGTTGTAACAATAGTTGTTGTGGTCGTTGGAGTCACCAGGGCCAAGTGTGAACGACCGCTGTCACATTGTCACATAAGGCCAGATATGAGTGTTTGTTGAATCTCCTGGGAAGGAGATGAAAGGACAGCAGACTTCCTAACCCAATCCTAACCCAAACCCTGTTGAGAGATGGTTTCTACTTTGGCTCTGAGCTCTTTGGTGCATGTGGCTTCATCTACTCCTCTTTCAAACCATCTGTCCTCTGTATGCAAAATATGAACATTTTTATCATATAAAGAGCATCCCTTATCCTTCAAGTGTAGGTAAACTGCTGAGTCAGTTAGAACTGGATGACAGGCAAAATGTCAAATTCAGGTATGTCAGGTAAGTCCAGTTGCCCTCGATTTACCCCTCCTTGTGTCCTCAATATATCGTATATAGAGTATAGACTTCAATGAACATTTTTATGTGTAAAATTCTAGAAAAAATCAAAGATCTCATCCTCCAGAAGGCTGGGGTTGAAGGTAAGTTTTTCTTTATTTAATATGTATAATATGTATTTCTCCATTTATTCTAATGTATTGGATTTTCATTTAAGATGTTAGAATGTATATCTTTGTTCTTCTCAAAACAAAAACAGAGACTGTAAATATTAGCTATTATACATTCAGTTTACATATGTGGTATTCATGTATAAATCTTTTTAGAATGATGAATCTTACTTATAGTCAAGTGGTATCTATCAGCAAATTAAAAATGTGCGTATTTATGTGGATATTTGGTCTAACTGTTCAAGAGATTCTACTGATATGAGAAAAAACAGGCCTTTTCATCTATAAATGTTTTATTTTTTCCTCAGATTAGACTGCTGGCAGTTGCTGCCCAGATGCTGCAGAAAGAGACAGAGCAGAAGATGAAAGAAAGAGAAGCTGCTCTGGCAGAAATAGTTCCTCCTCTAAATCTGTGTGGTCTGTCTTTGCAAGAATTGCAGGTATTTCATTTCATTATAGTTTTTCACAATTATTTCTATTTGAGTTCACGTTATATTCTAATACCACTAGAGGGGGTCATTTACTTTTTTAAAGGATCTTTGCAAAGACTTGCACCACAAGATTGATGTTGTAGATGAGGAGCGGTATGATTTTGGCCTCAAGGTGGCCAAAAATGACAAAGAGGTGAGCTCAATAGAAAGATAAAATGATGTATGTATGTGGGAATGTTTCTAAAGTTACTGCATTCACTGTTTTTACTATGAAGACAGAGTCGCAACACCACACAGCTAACAATTAAAAACACTGTCACCAAGTGGCAGCACTGAGAATAAGAATACAGCAGACTTCAGCCTGTTGTGTTTTCTAAGATATACTATGTGACTTTGTTACAGCACCAAACAGTGCCCCCCAAAAAAACAGTTTTTCACAACATCAACAGTAAGCTGGGAAGAAATTGGAAATGTGTGATTCAACTGTGAGCACACAATATGCTCCATTGTAATCCATGGCAGATACAACACAGCAGTAAATTATGTTTGGAACCATTGAATTATTACACTGATATAATGATATATAAATACCCAGAGAGTGACATTTATATTTTATATTAGGGTTAGAACAATAATACATTGGGCAAGATCAGCTGTGTATCAAATACAGGATATTGAGCAATCATTGGGTTCATGGGCAATAAAACAGAGATTACTTCCTAACCACAAATTATTAAACATCTGTAAAAGTAGCAGTTGAATAAAACATGGTATTATTTATGTCTTAATATAATGTTCATGTAAATGAAAAAATAGCAGTGAGGGTACCATCATAATACAATATTTTCTATGACATGATCCCCTGGCCAGATTGACAACTTGAAATTGAAGATCACTGAGATTCAGAGTAAGTTCAAGAAACCAACTCTGAAGAGAGTGAAGATCTCAGCTGAAGCCATGCTGAGCGTCCTGCTGGGCTCCAAACACAAGGAGTCCATTGACTTCAAGGCCAACCTCAAAACTGTCAAGAAGGAGGAGGAGAAGGTAAGACTAGCTTTTGCTTCAGGGTCTTGGAAACTTCCAGGTAACGGCTATTTATGGTCAAATGATTGGTTTGATTTTAGCTGAATGTCCCACGTTATGATATATTTCCAACAGAAGGAGGAGGTTACTGACTGGCGTAAGAACGTGGAGGCCATGTCTGGTATGGAGGGCAGGAAGAAGCTGTTTGATGCCTCCGGCAACTAAAGAAACATATATTTTTGTTTATGAGATCGAAATTGTAAACATTACTTACTGTCTTACCTATAGTTTACCGACTTTGGAATTGCATCATTGAATCAGTACCCTTAAAACCCTTGTTTCTCTTGCTTGTAATTTAATAAAAATAAAGGTAAAGTAACAAATGTTGAGAAGAACTATACTATATTCAATATAAATACTCAACATAAATCAGTAGGTTATATTTAGGAACAGTTTTTTTGTATTTTTTTTTGTAGTAGTGATGCAGTGACTGTTTGCAGCCTTGTGATGGCAGCATAACTCTTTCAGACCATCGCAAGATCCTTAAGACCTTAAGACACTACTGGATATACAGAATAGCATGTTGACTTTGGAGAAATATTGTTTGTCGCTCATGAATTAACAACGGCTAGCTGTGATAGTTTGTCAGACTTTCAAAATTGGATTGGATTGGAGTCTTTGATTAAGTTATTGCAGTGAAAGCATGTTATCTTCATATTTGGTTTACATACTTGATACAAACACGAAACCAGCAATGTTCTCTCAATAAAAAGTATAACAATCTTGCCATTGTTTTTCTCCACTGTGTGATCTAATAAATAATAAAGTCTTGGACTGTATGTGGCATTAACTTTTATGTGCACACACATAATACTGAATTAAACCTCCTTCAAACTTATCTGGCTCGAGGCACTAAGAAAGCATCACAGGTGGACAGTCCCAGTAAGAACTTTCACACCTCATACTTATGGGATGTGAGAGACGCAGTGCAAGAATGGTGAGGACGGACGGAGGGGCTATTTTAGTGAGCCACTCACATGAGCGCAGGAATCTATATATCTAGCCTCTTTCTGCCCTTCTCGTCTCAGAAAAAGTTGCCTGTGAGTATTTGCTGCCTACTGTATAAGGTAAGGAGTTTTATTTTGAAATATTAAAAAACAAGATAAAACAACAGATGGAGGTTTCTCATTACAATACTCCAAATCAATCAGAATTAAAAAGCATGGCTTAATTGTTTTACTTTAAAGCAGCATTTATGTCAATGCAAGTTATGATTTTTTACATCTGAATGTCATTTGTTGGTCTCAACTGAATACTATTTCATTTTAAACAAGTGAGTCAGGGAGGAGAGGGTTTTTTTTTGGTTCACGTTTGAGATCAGCTGGCATCCTCAGATCTTGAACAGAAGTCCAAGTAGAAGTTATAAATAACACATCCCAGTGTGGATTTGATTTATGTGTTCTTCTTCTTTTCAACCTATTCCCATTGTTTATAATGTTGTTGTGTGATTTCAATGTAATAAAATGAATCCTGCCCTCTCTAGTCTTGACTGATCAGGTAATTACAAAAGTTTTTGGATTCATTTTAGAGATTAGAATTAGAAGTCATAGGTTTGACCTTTAGACAATGTCACACATTGTTTGTCTCCCCTGCTATGGAATTGTAACCTACGGTATATAGGATTTCTCAGTGATGAAAAACAATGGTCAGTTTTGCTTAATTTAGCTTTTTTGTGTGTTCACAGAGAATCAGCTGAAATATGTGTTATTCTTCCTTTCTTTTTTACTTTGATAGATTAGACAGGGAGACACACAGAACTTCAACCATGTCTGAAGCGTAAGTACACGTCTCACTTACTTTCATCACACAATAACTGACATTTTAGAACTAGAATTTTTTTTTTTAAATGTAATAAATTGCACCTTTTTCTCTTTCTCTGCTTGAATTTTGGACACCACCGTCCTAACTGGACAGGTCTTCAGTGAGTTGATTCTACTGTCAAAGACAGAACAAACGTCTTAAACATATGTCAACATACATAAATATTAAGTCATTTATCGTATGTAGGACTGCAAACTGCACTTGTGTTGAATTATAAAAAATTGCATATTCTGCACGCCAAATTCACAAATATGCGTAAATGCTTTGATTATGCGTGAAATCAATTAACTTATAACAATGGTATATAATATAATTCTACTCAGGCTGTAGTATATATATATATATATAGTATGTTGTCATTCTGTGTGTTTAATGAATCATAACATGACTAATGTGCAAACCCTGCACAGAAAAATTAACACTGGGAAACCCACTGTTGCATATATTAAAGATTTTGCCAGAAATCTAACATGTACATCGTCGTCTTTTCCAGAAACCAAAGCCAAAGATCTCTGCATCTCGCAGACTGTTCTTGAAGGTATATTATGTGCAACTGTGTGTTAACGATAATGCTGTAAATCAATCAATCTTGTTCAAGAATTTACTTTCTTTGACTAAGGTGTGATTTTGTATGTGCACCAGACTAAACTGCTAAAGAAGGCTATGACTATGCTGGAGAATGATAAGCAAGTCAGAAAAGATGAACGAGAGAGAACCCTCACTGAGAGAGTCCCAGAACTCCAGCTGTCAGGCCTGTCTATGCAGGATCTACAGGTATATTTATCACTGTACCATTTTAATCCACATATGGAGTTTTTGTTTTGTTTTTGGCTCTAAAAAAGTCAACATTGAAATCACAAAACTTTAAAAGGGTCACTTCACCTACCCCTAGTGGGATCTAGCTGCAAGCAATTCGTTGAGGTGAATTTGGTTTGTGGTGCTCAAAGCATTGAAAAATGTGAAAATCTCAACAACAGTGCCTCTTGCCAAGAACAATGTCTCAGAATTAGTCAGAATAATCCACAGACATCAATGTAAGTAGTTTTAATAGGGACTTATTAGATAACACTTCCAATGTAAACAGCACAGTACTTAGATTAATCTCCAGAACATAAAAATGCCACCACAAATCCCTTGTGTATGTATATAAATCAGTATTGTGGCATTTTTATGAAAAAATTTACATAGACATACTGCAACATCTCTGTACATAGTTCCTTACCGTGTCAGTATTTCCATGAAGTTACATTCAAATTGTTCAGTTGGTACTTAAACAAGTGTAATACATTAATTAAAGGTTTCTGTGCACAGAATCTTTGCAAAGAGCTGCACCAGAAAATCGATGTGGCTGATGAAGAGCGGTATGACATTAATTCTAAAGTGATGAAAAATGAAATAGAGGTATGTAATATTTGTGAATAGCTTATAGTTTTGAGTTCTATCATTTCACATAAAGCATCTGACACATTTAAGGGATGCATACTGTATGTCACCAATACCATGAGGGAATTATATATTTTAAAGTAACATTGAGGGTGGGTTTGTCGTGTTGGAAAAAGATACGGGACCTGTCTCAGAAGATCTTTGAGCTGAAGGGCAAAATGAAAAGACCGAACCTGAAGAGGGTGAGGGTGTCTGCTGACGCCATGCTGGGAGCTCTGCTGGGCGCTAAGGTCAAAGAGTCTGTGGACTTCAAGGCCAACCTCAAGACTGTGAAGAAGGAGGAGGAGAAGGTAAGGGCTGCTAACTTCAATTTATTGCTTAATATTATGTGGTGTCACTTTGAGTCAGTTTGCTTTATTTAATGAGTACAATCCACTCTGTATTAGTGTTTCTTTCCTGTGAGTTCTGGGTACATATATTAGTACAGCATACATAAAACAGTGCGTTGTTCAAATTCACTACCCTTTCGTTATGTTCGTGGCTGAAAACAGCCACTACTTTAAACTGCTGTAAAAATGTATCAGATAAATATTTTTAAAAAATTCTTTTGCATAAATCTATTAATCAACTTCAGTCCTGATCAAAACTACTAAATGTTTTTTTAAAAAATCGGGATTTTAACTCTTTAATTGCCAAATTTATAAATGATGTCACTGATTTGGGGAAAAAACAACACAAAATGATTTTTTTTTAACCTTTTATCACAGTCTTGGACATGTCAAAGATTAGAAACAACATTGTTTTTGATGCATTGTTAGTTTCTGTGCAGCATCGGGTTTTAACTTTTTCTCCCTCATTTACTGTTCGTGGCTGTTTTTGCCCCATTGAATTCCATTATAACCACATTTTTGATTGCAAAGCCATGACACCAGATAATCATGCATTTTTGATTGTTGGTGGTTTTCCCTGTTGGGAAGAGGTAAAAATTGTAATTTTTACTGTTGATAACCAGGTGGCACCTTTTACCCTTTATAGGCCTGTGCAAAAAAACAAAACAAAACAAAAAAAACACTAAGCATCTGCATCAGATATATGAACACTTTATTATGAACCAAAATGCAACAACAACTTCAAATAAACTGAACAATGGTTCAACAGTTGAGGATGGATGAAGAACTAAACAATTGAACAAACCACAAACTGGCAAAGCTGTTTCGGAGAAGGCTTTTCCTACAAGAGCTGGGAAATTCTCTGGTCTCTGCAGCAATATTGAGGAGAGAGCACCTCCCTCGCGCACCAGTTGCTGCTGCACTGGTGAGAGAGATTAAGTCTCCTGCAGCTGTCCCTCCAGACACAAATCCACAGACACCAGCAGACACCAGCAGCTCAGAAGGGAAGAGGGGAACATGCAAGTGCTGCACAGGACAAAAAAAAAACAGTCAGCACTTGCATCCGTTGTGGTGGACACACTTGCAAAGAGCACCAAGTGATATGCTGCAAGTCCTGCTGGAAAGACTGAAAATACACACACACACAGAGTTTGTGGTTTGTTCAATTGTTTAGTTCTTCATCCATCCTCAACTGTTGAACCATTGTTCAGTTTATTTGAAGTTGTTGTTGCATTTTGGTTCATAATAAAGTGTTCATATATCTGATGCAGATGCTTAGAGTTTTTTTTGCACAGGCCTATAAAGGGTTAATGGTGCCACCTGGTTATCAACAGTAAAAATTACAATTTTTACCTCTTCCCAACAGGGAAAACCACCAACAATCAAAAATGCATGATTATCTGGTGTCATGGCTTTGCAATCAAAAAATGTGGTTATAATGGAATTCAATGGGGCAAAAACAGCCACGAACAGTAAATGAGGGAGAAAAAGTTAAAATCTGATGCTGCACAGAAACTAACAATGCATCAAAAACAATGTTGTTTCTAATCTTTGACATGTCCAAGACTGTGATAAAAGGTAAAAAAAAATCCAGTCCATAATTACATTTTAAATTGAAAATAAGTCATTTTGTGTTGTTTTTTCCCCAAATCAGTGACATCATTTATGAATTTGGCAATTAAAGAGTTAAAATCCTGTTGTTGTTTTTTAAATAGTAGTTTTGATAAGGACTGAGGTTGATTAATAGATTTCTGCAAAAAAAAATTTTTAAATATTTATCTGATACATTTTTACAGCAGTTTAAAGTAGTGGCTGTTTTCAGCCACGAACATAACGAAATGGTAGTGAATTTGCCCACAGTGTACTGTTGAGGTTTTGAAATTTTTCAAAGCATTTTCCCAAAATATGTGTCAAAATAAGATTTGTCACCAAAAATCATTCCATTTGCTGAAACACAGAAAAAGTTATGGCCAAATTAAGACTCAAAAATACCCCCTAGTGGCTGAAAACAGCCACAACAGCACATAAGGGTTAACAGTCTGCACTGTTTTGGTAAGGAAGCTTAGACCTACCAGCTCGAATCCAGGATAGTAACACTAATGCTAAAGTTAATGGAATTTGTACCTTTAGCTTTAGCATTAGTGTTACTATCCATATCTGCATATACACAGATATGAAAGATGGCAGCGTCACATGATGCCTAAAATGAAACCCTGATGTAAAACCGGAACTGCTAAAATGTTTTTAAAGGAACTAGAACGTAGACTGACACAACCTTTCATTTCTTTTTTCGAAAATGCAGAGGAAGTAAGAATGCAGTTGTACAGTTTCTGAGGCAGTAATGTTCAATGCAGGAATGTCATTCTTTGCTTAATATTAACAAGCATGTATCCCAATATTCCCCAACACTGTATGCCTATTTGTGGTATACAAAATCGCTACAAATACACAAGTTTTAATCAGACTGAGCTGATCCAAACTCATCCTCTTTTCATCCCACAGAAAGAGGAAGTGACCGACTGGCGTAAGAATGTGGATGCCATGTCTGGTATGGAGGGCAGAAAGAAGCTGTTTGATGCTGGGCAGTAGATTATGTGGTGAATGTCTTTGTGAAGTTGTTTGCTGCTCTAAAACAGATGGAACCAGTGAATCATGTGACACTTTATAATGGCAGTGAACATGAAGACCAGGTTAACAAGAAGGGTCTGGCACAGTTTGTTTCAAGTTTATTTGTAAATTGCAATTTAACTTTATGATAATTCAAATAATACATATTGTTTACATTAATTATGATGTATTATAAAAAACATATGTATTTAAAAGACAGTATTTAAGCACTGTATTACTTTTTAGCACACTTGAATTCATGAACACTGCACCACTAGTGGATGTCCAGGTCACCTGTAGTAATGTTACTGGCTTGCTTTTTGACATCTGCTATATACAACAATAAACAGACAAGAATCAGAGAAAATGCAGATGCGCACATTTGTCTACAATTATGGTTCTGAATTTGTCCAATTTATGCTTTGCCCATTTTGCCTACAAAAGCATAGTTTGAATTAGGGCCTTTGGATAACAACATAAAAACATGGAAAACAACATTTACATGTTTTCTTGTATTTACTGAGAAAACAATGGAGTCACATATGATGAGCAAATTAAGTGGTGTTGTGATGAGAAGGAGCAGTGTTATAAACTGTATATCAAACAATAAAATGTAAGTGACATTGCTCAGAGAATGGTCCTCTGTGCCTAAACTGAAATGCTGTTGCTTTCCTTACAGCACTAGACAAACATATACACACACAGACACATATATTAATATAAAACTTAATAAAGGCCTACTGTGATGGGATTAATACAGGTCTGCCCCTATTATATGGGAAATTGTTTAGTCATGTTACAGGAACTCACATGCCATTTGGGGTCAAAAGACTATTGCCCACAAGGTAAACCATTACATTTTGGGGTGGTGATTTGATTTTTGGTTAAGGGTTTGAGTTGGGTTAAAGGGAATCAATGTAAATCAATACATCCTGTTTATTGACAAAGGAAGAGTGTGTATGTGAAATGATGCGGCAATTTTTGTGTTGAAACATTCAAAAACTAAAGTAGCTTTACTGTACATTATATTAAGCTTGTTGTTAAGCTTGCTGTTAAGCTATTGGTTCTTTAAGACACTAATAAAAGGTTTCATTTGGTTCCATTCCCCCCTACTGTTTTCCCACGCACTTGCATCAAATAACATTTAGATGGTCCCTTGCCTCTGTCTCTAAACAAAGTAGTCTTAAAATGCTGTTCTTCTCTTACAAACATCCTAAATCCTCTCCAAACTATAAAAAATCCGTTTCCACAAAACATCACCAGTCATCAGTTAAAAAGCCGACCATACCTCTAGCACATCCATTGATTTACCCTTCTTCTCCCTCCTACGTGACTAGCCGGCCGTTTATACAACTCCTAATATGGGCATAACATTAAAAAAAAGGCACTGCCCACATGTGATATACGCCATTCTGATTGGATGAACGCAATGTCAATCATCAACGTTCACTGGAACACTGCTGTACATGGCCGGCCAAAGACTGTCAACACTTTCGACTGTAGTAGCTACATTTAGACCGGATATAAATCCCACACAGGGTAAGACGACATTTCCATAAGATTCTGATCGTTTTAGCGCGAGGTGTTACATGCCTGTATTCTGTTTTTAATACGTTTTATGTATTTACCTTGATCTGAGCGGCAATAATATATGCTAACAGTTATTTACACAGCAACACGTCCATCTATCTTCACCTAAATAAAGGCTTGATTGGATGTTGCTTTGCAGCAACATCCAATGGCTTATTTGCATATAGTAGTTAGTTGACGTTATCTAACATTGTTTTGTGGCTAGTCTCTTTATAATGCTAGTAAATAAGGGTAACTGTTGTTGTATCTATCTGCATTTAACCTGTCACTTTTTAAGAGAAGCTCTAGCCTCTTGCTGGCACTAAAGTAAGTTAAGTTAAAGTTACTGCGCCTGAACTGACATAAGATAGACATACTTGTGACTAAATGAGGCTGTGTATTGTAAGCTGAATATTAGTGGTGATATTATGTTTGAATTTGTGTAATATGTTCACATTTTTAATGCACTAACTGCATAACGTTTTGTTAATTTCTGTTGAATGTGTGCAGGGTTCTGCTTCTGGTTCAATGTCCAAGTACAAACTCTTTCTGCTGAGGCATGGGGAGGGGGCCTGGAACAAAGAGAACCGCTTCTGCAGCTGGGTTGACCAAAAGCTGAGCGAGGATGGGGTGAAGGAGGCCCAGGACTGTGGTAGGCTGCTGAAGGAGCGGGGCTACAAGTTTGACATAGTATTCACCTCCATACTCAGCCGTTCCATTCAGACAGCATGGTTGGTGCTGGAGGCTATGGGTCAAGAGTGGGTCCCTGTGGTCAAGTCCTGGAGATTGAACGAGCGCCACTATGGTGCCCTGATTGGCCTGAACCGGACAGAGATGGCTCAACAACATGGAGATGAAAAGGTGAAGTTGTGGAGAAGGAGTTATGACATCACTCCACCTTCGATTGATGATTCCCACCCTTACTTTCTGGAAATCTACAATGACCGCAGATACACCACTTGTGACGTGCCAAAGGAGAACCTTCCCCGAGCAGAAAGCCTAAAGGAGGTGTTGGACAGGCTGCTGCCATACTGGACGAGCACTGTGGTGCCAGAGATAAGGAAAGGCAGGACTGTGCTCATTTCTGCTCATGGAAACAGCTGCAGGGCTCTGCTGAAACACCTGGAAGGTATGTTACTGAACAGACCAAAGCTATTCTAAATGGTGTTCCCTCAGCTTTTGTCTTTGTGCGGGAAATACATTGAGTTGAATTCAGCAACAGCTTCTGGATTCTACACGCTGCTGTTTCTAGTCATCAGTCATTGAAATAGGAAGAACATTCAAGTTCCAGAAATGGAAGGTTGAACTTGTGCAAAAAGGCCAGTGAGTTTATGTTACATTTGGTTGTGGCGATGAAGTTCACACTGACCTTTAATCGCACTCATAAGCTTTAGAGCCTCCATATGCCGCAGGGCACTCTGTAATTTAACACATATCACCTATTACTTAATATTATGCAGCACAGGCTATATATATATGGAATTGTGTCACACATTTGGTAATAAACAGGATATCATTACAGTGTTCAGGCATATGTATATATGTATGTTATGTACTATTACAAAATAGAGACTGCAACTGTCATCAAGCCTAGTTGTGGTTAGTTTGTCTGGTGTGATCTTAATATTATTACTGTCCTTATTTTGATAGGTATATCAGATGAGGATATTGCCAACGTGACTTTACCTACAGGGATACCTGTGCTGCTTGAGCTGGATGAAAACCTCAAGCCTGTGAAACCCCGGCAGCTCTTGGGAGACCAGGCGAAGATTCAGGCGGCAATTAAAAAGGTGGAGGACCAGGGAAAAGCCAAACCATCAACTTAAATGCGCTAAACTGCCTGTAAGACTTGACAGAGCCACATTTTTATTAGGTACAATGAAAAGCTTGAACATAACTCATTATAACATCTGCCGATAACAACAACAAATTGTTGTTAATACTATTTAAAGGATAGATGTGAAGTAGCTGTATGTGTTGTAGTGGCCTGACATGAATGCAGAATGTGTATGTCACAGGTCAGACTGGTCTGTCAGGGGCAGGAGAAACTACTGTAAATGTTTAAGCACGGTGTTGAGTTGTATTATATGTAAGCATTGAGGAAGTGTTTGTATTGTGTCTGATTTTTATGCTAGTTGTCCTTATTTATGCCTGTACGGTTATTTATTTATTACTCATTAACTCTACCTTGAAGATTTATAATAGATTGGTGCAGCTGAAAAATCCTGCAATATTTCATATTCAGAAATAGGAAAATCTCCTTTCCTAAAGATGCTTTTTGGTTACATTGATAAGCTTTAGGGTTATTTCCTCGCGTTTCAACTTGTGCCTTCAGTATTAACATAGTGCTCAGCTACTTTTTAAGAAATAAAACCCTCCGTTAACAAATATTACTTAATAGATATTGAAAACCAGCTTGTTCATTCCAACAACGGGGTAATTGTGAGCCACAGAAATGTTGTAAATATGTAAAACCACTGCAATTCTGTTCTGTCCCACACATATGAGTTACTCATACTGTTAAATGGCCTTCTCATTAAGAATAAGACTGCTGAAGATGTTTTTATATAAGGTTTATTCAGTACATTCACTCTGACACAAAATTGGTTGAGTTTAAAGCGCTGTGGCTAACAAACATGCCTATTTGGGGTGATAACTGGGTTATGCTTTGCACTATTTATTATATTATGATTTTATTACTAAGATTTTTCTTAATTAAATGCAACAAGTGAACATGTAAATGGTAAATACCATTATTTTCGATAAATATGAAAACCAGAGTTTAGTGGTAAAACACAAGCACACTTTTTTTCTTCATTTTAAATTCTAAATTCTTATCATGTATGTGAAATTTCATGTTGCTTTGGTAATGTTAATAACACAAGTGAAAATGTTACGAGCCACTCTTTTGTGTGAACATTATATCTTACAGCAGCACTACCTTACTTGTCATCTCATGTTACCACTGTGTGTTGTAATGCGTCTCTTGTTTGTAGATGTATGGCACTATGCTTCAGTTGTGTATCCTGTTTGTTTGTTGTGTTTCTCTGCCGCTGTTATTTTGTACACTGGTCTGTTAGGTCATAAAGGAAAAAGAGATAAGTTAAGAACATGCGTTTGTAGATACTAAGAGTAGTAAGAGTTGAACACACTGATATATTTGTAATTTCTGTCAGATGATGTAATGTCTTCCCCGCAGTTCCCACCTTAACGTATGAGAGAGTATGCATGTTGAAATAAATGGGAATTCAAATTTTCCCAAAATATTATTTCTATTTCTATTATATTTATTTCTATTTTATTTTTATTTTCTTTCTGTGTTAATTTTAAACTTAATTTTTATAAGATAGTTGATAATTTTCACAACAGGAAGGCGTGTCAGATGTCAAGCTCACATAAAGTTATAGTTAAAGTTATAAATGATGTGATGGAGCAATAGAAACAAATTATAAAACAACAACAATGCTGTTTGGGAAATACAGATATGCCTGCAATTTGGATTCTGGTCGCCTTAAACCCACTGAAAACAACAAACAACTGAGTCTGTCTGACTACCACAGATGGGTCCAGAGGAGTGGCTCCGCATTTCTCAAGCATTTCTGTAATTTGGCCAAACCAGTGGGGCTGAGCCAGGGAGAAACCCTCTAATTGGATGGAAATGCTCTGGTTCCCATGCATGCATCTATGTTGCAGCACTGATACCATGTATGTTGGTAGACATTGGCATAATTTATATTGCAGAGGTCCATCATGTCATTTCAGTCAGGCATCTGAAGTATAGCTGTCTTTTACATTTCTTTCCAAACCTGCATTCACACCAGGGGAGTGGAAGAGAACTCAAGCCTGTTCATGAATTGCTTTGAAAATAATAATAAAATTGAAAAAATAAATATATTAGGACAGCATTTTATTAATCATTCAGATAATTCTTATGCATTGCATACAGTGCTTTAGTGGTGCACCAAAAAACTCAAAGTTTATAATTTTCTCAGAAAAAACATTTCCTAATAGAACTTAGATTGGATTGAAATTAGATGTATCAATAGCATTACAATTTAAATACATACCTAAAGTCAAACTGCACGCACACATCAGCCGTGTTTGAACTTCACTGAGTTGCAGCCTGAACAGGCGGGGCTGTACACTGCATGCTGTGCTTATAAACCTCTGGTTGCTCTCCAGCTGCTGATTCCCTGCACGAACAGTCACTTTGTGTCGGCCTGGTAAGTTTGATTATGTTAAACTGTAATGCTATCTTATAACCTTGTTAATGTAGATCAATCAATGTTTTTTGTATTTAGCGTGACTTAGGTGGAAGAATCAGATATTTGTAATCTGGGCTGAGCAAATAATTACTGGCACTGACTGAGCTGTGTCAACACTAAGTGATCACAAAGTTGTGGTGGTGTCAATACATCATTTGATGTCATGACAAGGTGTAAGGCTCATTAAGACTTAAACGAGTTTAGATCAGGAACAGATGCTCTAAATTCCAATGAATAAACTTACTTGTTGACAGAAATAAGGTTATATGTTATGGATGCCTCACTCCTCCTCTCCCCTTAGGGAAAATATTTTATCTGATCTGATTTAATCTAGATAATGATGTGACAGGCTGCAAGTGAATTATTCATATACCTCTTATGAATCTTATGTTGAGAAATGAATTGGGAAAAAGCAGAGAATAAGCTAAAGTAATAGATGTTCAAGGGACTGAACAGGATGTTGAAACGTCTCCCCTCTTTAGACAAATATGTGCTCCGGCTTGAGGAAGGTCCTGGAGAGACTGACATCCTCAGGCAGAGTAACAGCTGCAAAGAAATAGTTTATTCTATGAACAAAATCTGTAAATATTAACTACTAAGCAATAAATTCTTTACTGTAGATGTAAAAGACAGTTAAATGGCAATTCCTTTCTGTGGAGGCTCATCCAGTTACTTTAAAAGATTCTTTGAAAGATGAAAATATAAAGTTGTATCCTTTTGTATATTTCTGCAAGTGGATGGGAACTGGAAGGCACTGCATCCAAGAATCATACATAAAATGGTATTAGGAAGGCAGGACCTGTATTGCTGTAACGGGAGGACAGAGAAGTGGCAAATTCCTTTTCCTCCTCCCTTTCATGAAATAATTAAACATGCAATTTGATGGTGCATCTGTCCACAAATCGGTGTCTTCTAAATTCCAAATTCCTCTTTTTTTCCCTTTCCTTGAGGCTTAGCACTTGCATCTGCTCTGTCCAACACAGCAGTCACTACTATAATTTGACTTTAGTTTCTGTTACTCATACATTGAGCAGACGTCTGTCTGTGGAAAAGCTGGTTGTCGATGTGAACATGCCAAGTCAGACTCCTATTCCTTAGATGGTATTGAAGATAAAAGCCACAACCGCATCGGGTTGGAGTGTGTGAGTTTATTACCATACACTCATCTCCGGGGACTGGAAATGTGTTTGGGTTTCGGGAGCATCCTCTCCCCTGCTTGATTACTAAAATCAGAAGGATTTTACGTCATGAGAGTAAAAACAGCTGTGTGTTTGTGTCGTTGTTAAAAAGATTTTGTGACTCAAAAAACCCAAATGAGAAACAAATATGGTAGAGATACAGCTGCTAATGTTTTAGTCTGAGCACAAATTAGTCTTTGTTGCTTAAAAGTGTTGTGATTTGACAGAGAGGTAGGCTGGCTGCTCTCTAGTTGTCCAGATGGGACTCTCTAACTGGGAGAGGAAATGGTTTTCCACATCAGCAAATTACAGGAGGTGGGTAGAGGTGAGTGTTAGTGGCTCTGACATTAATGGAGGCATTCATCAGCAATCAGTCTGCCATCAACTCTAATTATGTAAGGAGAAATTAAACTCCTTACATAAATACTAGAAAGATTTAGAAGTAGGATTTATTTGTTTTAAAGTCCCTCTGTTCCTAATCTGCTATTTAAAACTTTTAATATTCTAAAATCTGCTTCTAACAGCCATAGTCAGTTTCCTTTTATTGACAGTAATGATGACAATCAGCCTTCCAGTACTTTCTGCCTCCCAGCAGTATTATGGAAAGATAATTAATAGCAATCACAATGCAAAAGCAGTTATTCTTGGACTGCCACTTTGTATAGCAGCAGGTATTTCCCAGAGTAAACCATGTTCACTGTCCACAGCCTTGCACCTTACCAAGCTGGGACACTACAACTAACATTGCCTGTGTACTTCCTTAAAAGGAGGCTGAGTACACCATCTCAGCTGATGAGATTCAGAACAGGGAGTGCACATTACTGCATCTATTTCCATTGAGTATCTGGTTGAGGAGCTTCTTGTGTCACCAAACATATTTTTATTCCAGTTTCAACAATCACACAGACTCTTAAGTTGGTATCATGGACAAAATACAGCATCAAGCAACAATGTCCACATTTTGAAAAGTACACCTGTCAGCCGATTATGGACTGCTTGTGTCCTTTTGAGCTTAAACCAAAGCTGAGCTGCAGAGGACTGAGTAGAGAGCTGAAGAGCCTGAGTGAGTGTCCTGTTGAACATGAAGAGAAATTATAAAATGCTTGCAAATCTCCACTTTACCCGTCGATGGTTATGAGCCACAAAACAACACACTCCTTTTCAACCAAACAGTACACAAACATTTTAATGAGCATCAGAAAAGGTCACCACTACAGTATGTTGTGGCTTGTAAACTGTGTGGAATTTGTATCGGGGACCTTTTCATATGTGACCATGTTTGGTCATGTGAAGTAAGCAGCTGCGGCTTCTTGATTGATTGCAAATGCCTCTCTGGCAACTGTTTATTCTTAAAGTGTGTTGAAGCACTTTCTTTATCTTTGAACAAGAACCTTGTCTGATTTTAGGCCGTAAAGTTATCTGAGGACGTATATTTTGGCTGATGTTGTTATTCAGTCAAATTACAGTGACAGCAACAAATGGATCTCTTTTAATTCACCAGTTACCATCCTGACAACTAACCTGTATTATTAATAAGTCAAAGGATGGACAGTATTACATGAAACAAATATTAAAGTTACACCGACCTTGTACGTGAAGGAGCACAGCTATGCAACAAGCTAATTGCACAGCTATGCAACAAGCTAATTGCACTTCCAATAAAGGTCAAAGACAGCTGATGGCTTTTGAAATCTTTATTGGAAGCAATTGAAAAACTGTGCAAACAGTATTGGATAAAAAACTAAGTGATAGTGATTTTAAATCAGACACAGACCTTAGATCTCACAAACAATATTAAGTTATTGTACAGTAGGATAAAAACTGGATTCACAAAAGTATAGACTAGGTAACTATCGTAAAAGATATTGCTCCAACAAGGGTATTTGGGGAGGAGATAAAAGATGTCTGTCAATATTTGCTTGCTCACAGATCTGACGAAATGTTAAACTACAACTGCTAACTGTGTCAGCTAGCACAGTTTATTATTTTTGTGGTTTCTCTTTTGTCACACCCACAAATTGTGTTGGAATAAGTACAAGAGAGTTACTTATATCCAACTAAGGTCAACTGTAATTTGCAAAACCAAATGTAAATAGTGCATTAGTCTTTAAAATAACATAATGCTTTCATGAGCCAGTAATTACAAAGCCAGACAATATGCAAATAACTAAAATGCTGGGATGAATAGTGACACAAAGTAGGATAAAGCAATATATGTAATTATGAAGGTTTTGGTTGAAGACTTAACTTTTGTATTGCACACCAAGCACTTATGTCTTATAAGACTCATTATAACCTTCAGTGAACCACTTGAGGAATTCTCAGGCTAAATCCTAGTTGGCTTCAGAAGCAAAGGACTCAGATGTGGGTTTATTGAGATTTAACTCCTTTTGATGGGCAACACTTGCACTGGATACTTCCAAAAGCAAACTTTCCCCCCCAGAGCTGTATCCATTAATTACAGTTAATAGGTGACCTAGTTAAGGCAAGGCAAGGCAAGTTTATTTGTATAGCACATTTTAACAACAAGGTAATTCAAAGTGCTTTACATAAAACATAAAAGCAACAGGGAAATATAAAAAAGTTTAAAAGCAACATAAAATATAATAACAGTTACAGTGTTACAATCAGGGTTAAAAGAGTTAAATGGAAATATTTAATTAAAAGCAATGATAAAAAGCTAAAAACAAAGAAAAAGAGAACAGGACAGTAAAAGTTACAGTGCAGTGTAAGTTATCAATCTTAAATATTTAATTAAAAGCAATGGTAAAAAGAAAAGTCTTCAGTCTTAATTTAAAAGAACTGACAGTTTCAGCAGACCTGCAG